ACAAAATTAATGAAACATGGACAGTGGCCACAAATTAATAAGTCGTAGGAACGAATTAACAAGTTGTAGGAATGAATAGCCTATCTGTCCTTTGTCCCGCAGCCCTGCAAAGCGCAGAGCCCAATATGAAAGAATTATCTGGGGAAATGACTTAGTTACTACATTTCTATTGCTTTCCATGTTTAAGAACTTTGTGTTGTTTTTATTTTAATGTACTTTTAAAGTTTAAATCACATTAAAAGCTTAATTTGTACATTATGAATGAATGATGATGCATTTATATACCGTCACCGTCACTCACAGCCGCTCGCACGCATTTTGCGCATGAGCCGCACGCAGCCCAAAATTAAACGACTTAATCGACCATCGATAGCTTTAATCGATTGCATCTCTTATCGACAATTAATCGATCATCGATTAATCGTTGACATCCCTAGCTCGTACCATAAAATTACGGTTGAACCGCTGATGTCACATGGTCTATTTTAACGATGTCCTTGCTACCTTTCTGTGCCTTGAACGTGTGAGTTGCATTGCTGTCTATGCAGGGTCAGAAAGCTCTCGGATTTCATCAAAAATATCACAATTTGTGTTTCAAAGATGAACGAAGGTCATACGGGTTTGGAACGACATGAGGGTGAATAATTAATGACAGAATTTTTTGTAAAGTCAAATATCTAAATAAGGACAAAACATAGACATCTATTATTATTATTATTATTATTTGAATGAAGCTAATTATAATAACTACTAAGCTACTACTACTAACTACTTGAAGAGGGGGAGGTTCGGTCAGATTTAGCAACTTTTGGGGGGAAATTTAGTCCCCAAAACTACATCCAAATAAAGGCCTGTACACGCCAACACAAATGTTCGTCATGACAATTCAGTTTGATTTTTGCACACAATTGGTCAATTCAGACCAATGCAGAAAAACAGCAGATGGGCTGAATGAAAACTCCCTGGTTACTCCAGGACACAAAACTTTCAGTTTCTGACATCCAAAGAAAATGTCGTTCAGATTTTTGTATTTGATATGGTGTTTAACAAATAACACCAAATACAAGAGTACAGAGAGAAGAGAGCAAGTTCCGAGTTCTTCCTCCTCTATTCACCATCACTTAGCAAAATACTCTGTGTTACTGAAAAGAGCTTTGAACTAGTGCTGGGCGGTATACCGGTTCATACCGAATACCGGTGTTTATTTTTGTTATG